GAAAGAAAGAAAGAAAGAAAAGAAAGGGCAAGCAGAGAGGATTAATGGGCTGACTAGTGGTGGAAGGGGGAATGAAGAGATGGGGAGGGCAGTGAGAGGTCCTGCCATGATTTTAGAGGTCTGTAGAGAAGAAGATTCTGTTTTCTGTGTCTCATATCATTGTCTAACTGGAGTTTTTCGTGCTAACTTACATACCTCTTGTTGTAGTTGAAGGCCAGTTCTTTTGGAAGTGAAGGGACCATGGTTATTTCACACTGGATGAGCTTTTAGTGTTTTTCTGAAACACTTTTATGCTTGATATTGGGCTAAAGACCTGGTGAATTTCTTCTTCTTTTAAAGATTTTATTTACTTGACAGAGAGAGAGAGAGCGAGCACAAGCAGGGGGAGTGGCAGGCAGAGGGAGAGGGAGAAGCAGGCTCCTCACAGAGCAGGGGGAGCCCGATGTGGGACTAGATCCCAGGACCCCGGAATCATGACCTGAGCCGAAGGCATTTGATTAACCAATGGAGCCACCCAGGCGCCCTAAAGTGAATTTCCATAGACAAAAGCTGCAAGAATTCTGAGGGCCAATTCCCAGTGAAAGTCTTTGGCCGTGAATGCCAAAAATAAGGCATAGTCTGAAGTGCAAGAACCAGGCCAAGGGATGCTTATTGCAGAGAAGAGAGTGAGAAAGAAAGAACAGATTGTTAAATCAGTGCCATGGGAACTTTGGGTGATAATTTGGGAAAAGTAAGGCTAGAACCCCACTTAATATAAGGGGAATAAAGGTAAGTAACAATATATACATGAAAAAAAAACCACCCAACTTTATATACTCATGAAAATGCAGATTTGGGGGGCCTCATGACAGACTTGAAGAATGAAAAGCCCTGAGGCAGGGCCCAGAAACCTGCATTTTCAACAAGTTCCTTAGGTGATAAAAAACATTCATCTGTAAATATTTCCTACATTTTCTTGTAGTGCTTTTATAATTTTAAGGTGGGCAAGGCAGAAGTCATTATAGAAAATATCAGTAGATAAGGCTATGTAAAATAAAAAACTTTTATTTGTTAGAAAAAAGAAATCTCCCATGAACCAAAAGTGAAAGGCAAGCAATGAACTAAAAAAAAAAAAAAATTTGCAACATATATGACAAAGAATAAATAATGAAAAGGGGTAAATATTCTTCACATGTAATGAGCACTTATAAATCAATAAGAAAAAATTCATATAAAAGAATGGGCAAAGGACATAAATAGGTAATTCATTTATATAAGACATGTAGATGTCTAATATGTCAAAATATTTTTACTAATATTCCACTTTTCATCTGTCCAGTTTTTTCTCCATAAAAAATGTGGCATACATATACAGTGAAAGATTATTCAGCCATTAAAAAGAAAAAAATTCTGCCATTTATGACAACACTGACAGACCTTGAGGGCATTATGTTAAGTGAAATAAGTCAGAGAAAGACAAGTATTATATGATCTCACTTTTACGTGGAATCTATGAAAACCAAACTCAGGTACAGAAAACAGATTGTTGCTTGTCAGAGGCAGGGGGGTGGGGAGGTGTGGAAGGTAGGGGAAATGGTGAAGGTGGTCAAAAGGTACAAATTTTTAGTTATAAGGTAGATAAGTTCTGGAGATATAATGCACAACATGGTGACTACAGTTAACTACTGTACTGTATATTTGAAGGTTGCTAAGAGTAGTTCTTAAAAGTTCTCATCAGAAGAGAAGAAACTGTAACTATGTGAGGTGATAGTTGTTAACTGATTGTGGTAGTCATTTTGCAACATATACATATATCAAATCATTATGCTGTCTACCTTAAATTACTCTAACAGGTATATGTCATTATATCTCAGTAAGACTAGAAAAAAACTTTAAGATATGAAATAATGGTGATTTACTCTCTCATCAAAGATACAGTTTTCTTATCTCAACAGTCCTACTCAATAATTCTGAAAGTAAAGAAACACCTTCCTTCAGACAGATCTAGTTTCTGGTTCTGTACTTCAAACGCTACATTTTTTTTTTAAAGATTTTATTTATTTAATTTGACACAGAGAGAGCACAAGGAGGGAGAAGCAGGCAGAAGAAGAGGGAGAAGTAAGCTCCCCGCCGAGCACGGAGCCCCTTGTGGGGCTCAATGCGGGACTTGATCCCAGGACCCTGGGATCATGACCTGAGCCGAAGGCAGCCGCTTAACCGAGCCACCCAGGGGCCCCCAAAAGCTACATTTTTTAGTCCTCCTGCACCCTAAAAGCCTCTTACACTTCCACACCTTTGCCTCCCCAGAACTTCATACCCAATCTTTATAATTTTAAATTTAGTGTTCTCTTTCATGAAAGAGTGCATTGAAATGATTAGCTAAAGCAACTGCATGTTTGTATTTTTGAAGACAGGAGTAAAGGACTTACAAGATCAGATAAGGCGCATGGCATACATACATGTTGATACAAGTGCTCTTGAATTAAAAATATATATAATTACTGATATACTATTTTCATCTCTCCAGTTGGTAGTGTTTTTTTCTTTTTCTTTTTTAAATTTTATTTATTTATTTGAGAGAGAGAATGAGATAGAGAGAGCATGAGAGGGGGGAGGGTCAGAGGGAGAAGCAGACTCCCTGCTGAGCAGGGAGCCCGATGTGGGACTCGATCCCAGGACTCCAGGATCATGACCTGAGCCGAAGGCAGTCGCTTAACCAACTGAGCCACCCAGGCGCCTCTTTCAAATTTTCTAATGTTTGTTCATTAGATCAGTTCAGATTTTTTTTTTTAAGATTTTATTTATATTTTTGACAGAGAGCGAGCACAAGCAGGGGAAGCAGCAGGCAGAGGGAGAAGCAGACTCCCCAAGGAGCAGAGAGTCCGGGGCGATCCCAGGACCCTGGGATCATGACCTGAGCCAAAGACAGACACTTAACCAACTGAGCCACCCAGGCGCCCCTCAATTCAGCTTCTTATCAGGGAAATTTGGTAATAAGAACTGTATCAAAAGCCTTAGAATGTTTCATAACCTTACATTGAGAAATTCCACTTCTAGAAATTAATTCACTTCTAGAAATTAATCATGAGTGTGCACAAAGATATTATGACAAAAATATTTTACAGTATTGTTTCTAGTAGGGAAGAACTAGAAACAACTTAAATTTCCAACAATACAGCTCTGATAAAATATATTTTAATACATTAACCAAAGGCATACTACGTAGCCATTAAAAATGTAGAATATATAATGACATGGAAAAAGTATTAACAGTATTTTTTAGTGAAAAAGAAAAGCTTACAAAACAGCTTGCAATCTTATTCCTAAAAATATGTGTTTATTCATTGAACAATTGTAGAAAGATAAACACCGGGCGCCTGGGTGGCTCAGTTGGTTAAGCGACTGCCTTCGGCTCAGGTCATGATCCTGGAGTCCCGGGATCGAGTCCCGCATCGGGCTCCCTACTCGGCAGGGAGTCTGCTTCTCCCTCTGACCCTCCTCCCTCTCATGCTGTCTCTCATTCTCTCTGCCTCGAATAAATAAATAAAATCTTTAAAAAAAAAAAAAAAGAAAGATAAACACTGACATTTTAAAGGGTTGTCTCTGGATGGTGAAATTGTAGGTAGTTATTTCCTTTTTCTTGTGGCTTCTACATATTAAGTTTTCTGTAGTGTAAATGAATATTCCTATGATATGAAAATGATAGTAAAATGTATTATATAAAAAAGAACAGGGGTATGTAACTGGCTCTGTCAGAAGAGCATGCGAGACTCTAGATCTTGGGGTCGTGAGTTTGAGCCCCACCTTGGGGATAGAGGTCACTTAAAAAGAAAGAAAAAAAACTGAAAAAAAAAAACCCCAAAACCAAAAAACAATTCATTGAGAAAAATGCTTGGCGTAAAACTTGCCTCTTCTGTAACTCATTTCTCTAACAACTCACTTCTTTAGTGGCTCCTTCCTGGGGAGGACCCCAGGAGAGGCAGGGATCTCCTCAGGCCTTCTCCCATTTGGAGCTTTGCGGGAGGCCTGTGGTCAGCCTCTTGGTCACATAGAATCCAGCTTTGGGGAAACTGAGAAGTAACCCAAAGTTTGGGAAGTGGAGAAATGGCAACTGGAAGATTTCATAGAGTCGGGGCCAGGAACTCCCTTCTCAGAGGATCTAGTTTCTCCGCCCATGTTTTCCTCAAACAGAAACTAAGGCCGACTTCAGGGCTTGTCCAAGGCCACCCAGCCAACTTAATGACAAGGTGAGGCCTTGAATCCACGGCCTTTCCGCCCTGTTGTATTTCTGTAATATGCAGATTTAAACCAGTCCTTCTCACACTTAAACTGTGCGCACAGGGATCCCCAGGGATTTTGTTGAAATGCAGATTTGGACCCCGCCGGTCGGGGTGGGCCATTTCTAACCAGCGCGCAGGCAATGCCAATTTTGCCGGGCTGGGGACCGCAGTTTCCCTGGCTGTGGCGCAGGGCACGGATTCTGGAGCCAGACTTCAGCTTCCCAGTCCCAGCTCTGCCACAGACTCTCTGATTGTGACGCTCACTGTGCTTCAGTTTCGTCATCTGCGAAATGAGTCTCCTACCTGACTCGTAGAGTTTGCGTGAGGATTTTTAGTAAGTTGTTACACGTTAAGTGCTCAGATCGGTGTGCGTGAAGAAGTGGCTAGCTTACTATCATTCCTATTCCCCCGAGCCTTCAGGGGGTGAAGCAGGGTCTGACGAATGAATGAGCAACCCTTTGGAAGAAAGCTCTTTCCTGGGCGGCTAGAGTCAGAGAAGCAAAAGGGGAGGGCTGGTCGGTGGGGGAAGAGGCCCACCTCCAAGAAGCTCCTCTCCACCCGGGGCTCAGAAGGGCCGCGAGCGCCGGAAGCCGGCCGGCCCGCGCCCCGCCGACCAATGCGGCCGCCTGGGGGGAGGGGGCGGCCAGCCAGCCCTTTCCGTCTGGGGCTCCGGCGGCCCCGCCCCTTGTGCGTTGCGCCGCTCGAGCATTCCACGGTTGCTACATCGTCGCGAGGGGCGGGGCGCCTGTCAGGGAAGCGGCGCGCGCGCCGGCGCGGGCGGGCTGGGGCTCGGCCGCGCAGTGCCAGCGCCAGCACCAGACCCGCGCCCCGCGCTCTCCCGACCGCCGCCTGCGTTCTGGCTCGCGAGCCCGAGCTCCCGCCCGCCCGTGCGCTGCCCGAGTATGGAGCTGCTGTGCTGCGAGGGCACCCGGCACGCGCCCCGGGCCGGGCCGGACCCGCGACTGCTGGGGGACCAGCGTGTCCTGCAGAGCTTGCTCCGCCTGGAGGAGCGCTACGTGCCCCGCGCCTCCTACTTCCAATGTGTGCAGAGGGAGATCAAGCCGCACATGCGGAAGGTGCTGGCGTACTGGATGCTGGAGGTATCGCCCGGAAGGGTCTCCCCTCCCCCGCCGCCCGGCTCCGGACATCCCCGGGCCGCCCTGTCGGGACATCCTGGTCCCAACAGCAATCAGCAAGATGCTTTGGTGGCTCCGATCCCCGGGGCCTGGCCTTTCACTCGGGCACCCTAGCCAGCCGACTGCCTCCGTGGTGTCCCTTTCCCTTTCCCTTCCCCAGCCCTAACTCTGACTGCCGGTCGTTTGGCACCCTCAGTAGCCCTCTCTTCGGGCCGGGAAAGCGGGACCAGGGCAACCCTCTCCCCTCCGGCTTCTCTCAGCGTCTCCTGCCTCCCTCCCCCGCTCGGATTTCTCAGGAGAGCGCGCCTGGAAAACCCTGGGCTCGGCCGCCCCCGCCCCAGAGTCGGTTCCTGTGTCTGTCGCGGGGTTCTGGCGGGGAAGACGGTGGGGGTGGCGCGCGCGCTGTTCCGGCAGTCAGGGAAATGAAAAGTGCGGGAGGCAGCGGCTGGAGTCTCCTCCCTTCCCTTCCCTTTGGGTGTGTGCAGTGGGTGGTGGTAATGGGGGTAAGGTCCCAGTTCTCCGGCTACCGTGGGTAACTCTTCCGTTTCCCCAACCCCCTCCTCGCCATGGAGGAGGGCAATCTCAGTTTGGAATCCTTCTTAAGGAAGGGAGCCTCTGGTGTACCCCCCCCACCCCCCCAGAGGAGGGGGAAAGGAGGCAGGCAACTCAGAGGACGTGGGGGGCGTCTCCTTGGGGAAGGCGCATCCTCCTCCGTATGTTAGTCCTTGTCACCGAAGGTACACTTATCCCCCCTCCCATGTTTTCGATCCCCATCCATTTCCCTTCAGCGCCCCCCCGCCCCCGTCCTTTAGTGCTGCAGCGTTTCCCATGCCCCCGCCCCAGAAGTGACTGTGCGCCCTCCCCCAGGTCTGTGAGGAGCAGCGCTGTGAGGAGGAAGTCTTCCCCCTGGCCATGAACTACCTGGATCGCTACCTGTCCTGCGTCCCCACCCGAAAGGCGCAGTTGCAGCTCCTGGGTGCGGTCTGCATGCTGCTGGCCTCCAAGCTGCGCGAGACTACGCCCCTGACCATCGAAAAACTGTGCATCTACACCGACCACTCTGTCTCTCCCCGCCAGCTGCGGGTGCGTGCATAAGTCTCCCCACCCCCGACACAATAATACCTCCTCACTTACCAGGAAGAGGAAAGCCAAGACTTCAGAGGCTTTCTGCCCCTGGGGAGGGTAGCGGCAGCTTATTTTTGGGGGCAAAAGGTGGGGCACCGCGGTGGGACAGTCAGGGTAGCCCCAGCCCAGGCTCGAGCTGCCAGCACGAATCGAATCCCCTTCTCCTAACCTCCAGGGGGTGCCATTTCTTCCTGGTCTTTCCCCCAGATAGCAACAAGTCAAACTGCATGTCTATACTCACTAGTACTTTGCCTCTGGGTTTACACAGCCACCATGAGTTATTTATTGGCAGCAAAAGGACATGCCTGCACACCCCCACTGGAGTGGGGGAGTGGAATGTGCTTCATGTGGGGGAGGGGGCTGCCTTGGTTGAGTCTTTGTCCCAGTGTGGACTTTGTGATTAAAAAGCCTCGCAGAGGCGATTAAAGCCAGGCCCTGATTGCTCTCAGGAAGGGCCAAGGAGTTGTCATCCCACCTTGTTTCCTTCCTTTTATATCCCAGAAGAGATAGCTCCTTTCTTGTCCTCGTTCTGAGGAACTTGAGCAGCTGCTTCAGGCCTGGTGGAGTCACCTCTCCCTTTCCCCCTCAGTCAAAGGCCAGAGCTGAGGGACAGCCGGGGAGCTGAGCTGCAGCTGCTTCCGATGTGATCATGCTGCCCCCTCCCCGGGCCCACCCACTCGGGCCCGAGGTCTTTCATAACCCTGTGGGGAGCTTCTGTCACTCCTGTGGTTTGGGAAGTGGCTCCCTGGGCCTCTTGCTGGGAACTTGGGCTGGGCTCTTCCTGAGGCAAGGCAAGAGAGTCAAGGCTCTCCCCATTGAGCCTGGAAAGGAGGGTGGGGGAGCTGCTTGGATCTGGGAGAGGTTATTTAGGGCAGGCAGATCATCTCCTGGGGGGGCCAGGGGGAGAGGATGGGTGAGCTGGCACCTTCCTCCACCTTGCTCTACGGCCCGGCCAAGTCTTCTCCTGACCCTGAGAGGAGTCTCTGGGCCCCATCTCCTGGGAGGAGGGCAGCATGCAAGCTGCTGTGATTGGCTGGCCAAGAAGCCAGGGTACTGGGGGCCCCCCGACTGCTGCTTGTCGAGGAACAGGATTCCTCTTCCTGCCAAGTCGCTCTCAGAGATGGGAGTAGGAGGCCGGAGTTGGGAATCCGGGAGGCCCCACAGCTCTTTGTGATGAATCTGGTAGTTCTTGGCCAGTCTGAAGGTGGAGCCGGTTTCCAGGGCCAGCGAGCGAGATGTTTTTGGAGGGGCTTGGGCTGGAAGGTAGAAGGGGACTTCCTTTTTGTGAAAAGACTGGCACGGTGTGTGCGCCTTTGTGTGAGGGGAGTTTTTCCGAACAGGCCACAAGGACTCTTCCTCCACTCCCTCTGCCTGAGCTGGGGGTGGAGTGTGCAGATGCCTTCCTAGAAGGTCAGAGTTGGAAGGGACTGCAGAGAACTCCAGTCGGTCCAAATCCTTGTGCAGCAGAGAGGCCCAGTGGAGGCCCAGAGAAGGAGGGGGAAGCACTGCCCTGAAGCGGATGAGGAGGGTCTGGGTCTTCTGGCTAGCCCAGGGGGCCTTGAAGCCTACAGATGTGGAAGCTGCCAAGCCACTGCCACTAATAACTCCCAGGGGTGTGTTGTCCACCAAGCGAGGGCGGAGATTTTCAGGAGTTGCCCGGATACCGGGTAAGGTGGCTGCCTTCCCTCACATGGGACCCCCTGCCTCCCCACAGGGAGAGCCCCACTCCAAGTTGCCTTCCACATGGTTCCTTGGAGGCTAGGTGCTTTCTGTTCACTTCTGAGTTAGAAACTGGAGCACTGGGACAAGCATGAGTAGAATGCTGGCTTCTCTGCCCAGCCTCTTTTCTGTAGGGCCCTGTGAGAGGCTTGGGGCTGATTGGGGAGGATGACACTTAGGCGGGGGCCAGGAGAGGGACAGCTGTGACCGGGGACCTAGAAGAGGTTGGGCGGGGTTGCCATTTCTGCCTCAGTAAGGGGCCAAACCCATGAGTTCCTTCCTGAGATAAAACAATGAAGAAATCCTCATGCGTGCAACTCAGAAATGGGGCCGGGACTAGGAACCCCAGACGAGTGGATTGGGGTGGGGCCCCCAGCCTCCCTCCAGGACCTAGCAGTGGTATGTAGGTGTAAGCAGGCGAAGACAGGGTTTGGTCCCTCAGGGATCATCTGGACCCATCCTTTCTGGCTTGGCCTCCCCTTGGCTTCCTGAGACTTAAATGACACTAGCCACTGTGGTTCCAGGTAAAAAGGGTGGAATGGGGTGCTACATCTCAGACCCCCTTCCCCCCCCGCAGTGTCCCACCAACGGGATGTGGGTTGGGTTGGGTTGGGTAACCTCCCCTTTGAGGAACCTCAGGCTTGGTTCAGTGGCTGTGTCACAAAAGGCGTGGCCTCACGTTCATTCTGGTTTCTTCAAGGGGTGTGGACTTGGCTGGGATGCAGAATTGGAGGAGAGGCTAGTGGTGGTCTGCCCTTTCTCAAGTCCCTGGGATTTCGGAGTCTTTCTGCTTCACCTCCGAGGAGGCTCAAGGTTATGATGCTGTCGGTGGTATTTGCTGTAGTCTTTTCAGCCCTGGCTGGGGAAGTGCCCAGAGCCCTGCATGAGGTCAGAAGACCTGCATTGTTGGCCCCCGAAAGCTAACCAAACAGGATCGAAAGAGACTGTTTCTATCAAACATGTAGTTTTGGCACTTAGTAAGCGAACAGTAGGTGCCCAAAGCCAACTCCCCTAGTTCTTCTGTGCCCTGGACCCCCCCATTCCACAGCACCAAGTCTGTACACCCAGAAGCAGAACTGGGGTCTTGACCTTCAAGTTTGATGGGCTTCCTTCCCTGTGAGACTTCTGCTTTACTCCCTACCCTTCCCTCCTCAGCCACTGACTCCACCCTCTTTCCCAACCTCCAGGACTGGGAGGTGCTGGTCTTGGGGAAGCTCAAGTGGGACCTGGCAGCAGTGATTGCCCATGATTTCCTGGCCCTGATTCTGCACCGGCTCTCTCTGCCCCGGGACCGACAAGCCTTGGTCAAAAAACATGCCCAGACCTTTTTGGCCCTCTGTGCTACAGGTAAGATTTTTTGCCAAATGAGGAAATTCCGAAGCCTCGGAAGGGTGGCACGTAACCGGACTGTGGTTTGTATTCTTCTCAAGATTTGTGAATATTCCATCCCCTCTTGAGACTAGGGGACCCAGAAAAGGCAGCAGAACATAATCAGAGCTGTATGGGATTTGAGAGACCCCCCAGTATTTAATAGGGGCTGAGAGAGAAGTGACTTGCTCAAGGTCTCAGTGATGAAGCTGGGAGCAGAACCAAGGTCTTCTTGACCCTGGTTTTGTTTCCACATCAGGAAGAGCCTCATTCACTCCCTGGTCCCTGGTCAGGCTCACTTCCCAACCCCCCTGGACCTGATGGACCCGTGGGAGTTTGCGGTCTACCCTGGTGCCCTCTAGGAAAGCGGCCCTTTCCTGCCCTCCTCCGTTACTGCTCTTCTAGCGCTCACTGCAGGGAGTTTCCTGCCCTGTTCACGCTGCCTGACACTTTTCTGAGCCATAGGAAGTCCACACTAAGCCTTTGCCTCATGCTTGCCTCCCTCTTTCCAAGATTACACCTTCGCCATGTACCCGCCATCCATGATCGCCACGGGCAGCATTGGGGCTGCAGTGCAAGGCCTGGGTGCGTGTTCCACGTCTGGGGACGAGCTCACAGAGCTGCTGGCAGGGATCACAGGCACTGAGGTGGTGAGTGCCGGCCAGGGGAGGCCCCCGGGGCGCCACGGTGGCTCAGCAGTTCCTGAAGCAGTGCTATTCCCTGAGCCCCCAGCAGAGGGAGGCGTGCATCCCTAACCTAGTCCCTGCTCCTGGTTTCAGGAGCCCCACCTTTGGGGCTCGTGTGGCCTTTTATCTCCTGCCTTGGTCTGGGGAAGAGCAGGTGTCTTGGGTGGGTTGAAGGCACTGTCCCTGGGTGCCCTTTTCTTGCCAAATGGTATGCAGGAGTGGGGGTGGAAGATCTGCTGTCACACGCAGGGCTGCTCTCACACCCCCTTGCCACATCCTCTTGGCAGTTTCTTAGAACTGAAGGCTGATTCCTGGGGCTGGGCTGTGGCCTAACCTCCCTAGACTTCCCTGTGTGCTGGAAGGTGTCCTTCCCCCGCATCTGCCATCAGATGCTGTGGGAAGTGGACCCTTAGTCCCAAAGGGGACCTTCTGCCATCCCACCCAGCAGTCACTACTCACCGTTCCCCGTTTGCAGGACTGCCTGCGGGCCTGTCAGGAGCAGATCGAAGCTGCCCTCAGGGAGAGCCTCAGAGAAGCCGCGACCTCCCCCAGCCCGGTGCCCAAAGCCCCCAGGGGCTCCAGTAGCCAGGGGCCCAGCCAGACCAGCACTCCCACAGATGTCACAGCCATCCACCTGTAGCCCCGGAGAGGCCCCCTCCAGTGGCCATTGGCAGCAGAGGAGGGGACACTGCCACCCCCCCTCCCTGCCTGCAGGAACGAACCACGCCACATCTGAAGCCTGAGGGGGCTCCTTCCTATTCACCCCTTGCAAAGCAGAAGGGGTCAGGCCCTACCTATCCCTGCAGCGTGCACTAAGGGGCCTGGCCAGCCAGCCATGTTTGGGTGGCCAGCCAGGCTCCTCTTTTTCTCTGTATCTGACCAGCTCTGCTCCTTCCCTGATCCTAGCTGGCGGTGGGCCAGGCTGGTCAGAAATGAAATTGAAGTAGGTAAAATACATGTACCAGTATTCCTTTTTGAGGCCCCCTTATATCTGGGGCTCTCACGTTCTCAGATGCCATCATGCCCCTAGTGCCTTATAAAGGTGTTGCACCTTCCAGAGTTCTTGCATTTGGACTGGGGTCTTTCTGAAGAAGTTTCAGATATTCTGATAGACATGTGTGAGGGGAAACAGTCTGGAGAGCTCCTCTTGACATTCTTTGGAGGCCCCTGCATAATCCACGCTCACAGCTGCTCCCAGAGGGCCGGCCCAGGCCTCTGTCAGAGGGGCAGAACCAACCAATTCCTCCTTGCTTTGCTTGCCGCTCAGCTTCTCCTGTATGATTGAGGGGGATCAGTGCTGAAGGAAGAGGTGGTTTTAATTTATTAATTGTTTTGAGGACAACTGTAAGAGGGTGTGGTGGGGCCCATCTACCCCACAAGTGGTGGTAACCCTGGTGGTTGCTGCATCCCTCCCCTCTGCTACTGGCTAGAGGATCTTTGTGGCTGAGGAGCTGCTACAGCCTGGAGTGGGGCCATGCCCTCCTCTCCCTCTGGCCCTCTGCCCCATCCTCTGGGGGTGAGGGATGGAGCAGGGATAAACTGGAGGTGACTGAGCCCCTGTCTGGAGAGGGAGGCAAGCCCTGTTGACACAGGTCTTTCCTAAGGCCACAAGGTCCAGGCTGGTGGCCCAGGACCATCATGCTACCTTAATAAAGATTCTGGAATAAACCTGGCTTTGGCTTCTTGGGTTGGATGCTGGCATGGGGAAAAGCTGCTTCTAGAATGCACGATGTAAGCAGAACAGAAGTCAAGGGTCATGATGCAGGGGTTCTCACAGACCATTTCTGTAAAGGGCCAGAGAGTAAATATTTTAGGCTCTGTGGGCCATTTGGTTTCTGCCCCAGATATAGTCAGTTCTGCATTACAATGGGATGTACGCATTCCTAAAACTCACTGCACCATGCAAAATTGCACAATAAAAACCACAGGGCTCATGGGAAAACAGGCTTGAGGCACAATACTCAAAAACTTAATGAATGACACATTTTTTTTAAGAAGGAAATGAAGTGGATAGCCTAGTTTTTACTTTAAATGGTTAAGGAACCTATATACTACAATATGGCCCTTTATCTTGAAAAAGACCTGAAGTGTGTGTGTGTGTGTGTGTGTGTGTGGAAGCAGAGGTTAGAAGGCTGTGGAAGGCAAGCTATGACACCAGGTGTGGGTGTGGTTCCCCACACAAGGTAAACTGAGGCAGTGCTGGTGTTTGAGGCCTGTGCAGTCTGTACTACCTGGCTTGCCGCAGCTGGGCAAGTTTCACGTCGTTTCTCAAAGACAAATGTGCAGAGAAATGTGAAATTCGTGATCGGTTTCTCCCCAAATATATAAACTGGGTTGGAATGAACTCACCAAAAGCAAACAAGAAGGGTTCTAGAACGATTGTACAGCTGGCCCTTGAACAACATGATTTGAATTGGGCAGGTCCACTTATAGGCAGATTTTTTTCAATAGATGCATACACTTATGGTAATGGTAAGCAGGAATACTGTACGGATGACACGTAACTTACACAATGTGTGAACGGACTGTATTATCAGTAAGGCTTCCAGTCAACACTAGGCTACTGGTAGTTATGTTTGTGGAGTCAAAAGTTTTATACACAGATTTTTGGCTACGTGAGGGGGTTACCACCCCTAATCCCTGCACTATTCAAGGTCCAACCTTACTCAACTCTGCTGCTGTAGCATGAAAGCAGCCCAGCCATAAAAATACAAATGGATAGGGATGGCTATGTCCCAACACACTTTACTTATGGACACTGAAATCAATTTCATATAAATTTCACCTATCACAAAATACTGTTAATTTTTTCCCCAGCCATTTAAAAAATGTAAAAATCACAATTAGCTCATGGGCTGTAAGAAAACCAGCATATGATTCTAGTTTGCCAACCCCTGGTCTAAAGCTTTAAGTAGCCAAGAAAGTTAGGAAACCTGTCTAGTGGTGACTCCCGATCTACTCATTCCAGGGCCTGACCTTATTATTCTCTGCAGCTCCAGTTTTCTCTAGGGACTTTCTCCTGTAGCAGTCCACACACAACTGAGACAGGACCATCTTCTGAACCACCTCCTGGTCGCTGGCATTCCCCCAAAGTAGCCTCTGCCTCTATGGAGGCTCTACCTGGAGACACAAACTTACAGAATAAGGCAGGGGGCGGCGGGGGTGGGGTGGGGTGGGGGAGTATCCTCTGTAAACTGTTAAGAATCCACTCCTAGATAGGAACAGGGAAGAGCTTCTCTCCAGCTAAAGAGGGAAAGCAAAAAGATCTCCATTGATCACATCAAAACACAGAAGTTCAATAAATACCTGCCTTTGGTTTTTTTTCCACATCGCAGTGACGTGAACACAACAGCCTGAGAGAAAGAACCTATTCCAAGCCCCAGCCAGGGAGTGGGAACACTGGCGTGGGGCACCTCAGGTCAGGTCTCAGAACGGAATAGGGACGAAGACGTGGAATGGAAGAGGGAGCCAGCCAGATCCTCCAGTCCTCCCTGTCAGGTATCGGGAGTCACAGATGCCTGTGACCTCTCTCACCGTCCCGATCTGTCCCGACTTCCGCTGTAAAAGCCCCGTGTCACCAACAGGGAGTCCTGGGGTCCCCTCATGCCCCTCAGACCAGGGCAAATCACTCTTCTCACTCCATGGCGACAGGCACGTCTTCCACATCTCGGGGGACAGCGCTCTGAAGCTCACGCCTGATCTCGGGGGCCAGCTGTGGATGGGGCTGCAGCCGCAGCAGTTCCAAGAGGGCCTCTTTCTGGTCTGCGGCCAGGTCTGCCTTGTAGCGCTGGACCAAAGTCAGGAGGCACTGGTGCCAGAGCACAGGCAGTTGGCGCCTCTCCGTCCGGAAGCCCAGGAAGTGGAAGACCAGGGCGTCCAGCACGCGGTAGGGCAGCGCATACTTCTTATCCAGCAACAGTCGCAGGAAGATGCTGTTAGCACCGCTGTATTCCATCTCGGCAATTTTCAGCATGGCCGCGCTGGTGGGGAAGGAGATGCTGGAGGGAAGATCCGCCCTCTCCTGTCCCTCCTTCCCCTCTCCACCTCCGCTGGCCCCTGCACTGTGCTATTCCTAAGGGGGCCATCTCAGGCCTTCTTCTCACCTACCCAATCTGACACCCCCTCGGCCCCAGCTACCAGCTCTACGCAGATGTGCCCCAAGTCCCCACCTCTCACTCAGCCCCTTGTCTCAGTATCTGGCTAGAATAGATTCGAGTATCTGAAGATCTCCACCCCTAACGCTCTCTTCCCACGTTCCTCATCCATTCATTCATTCATTCATTCACTCAACTATTTACTGAGCACCTGCCATGTGCCAAGCACTGGGCTCCTGTTTTGGGGGAACTTACATTCTAGTGGAGCAGCAACATGCTCAGGAGCATAAACAAGCCAGAGATCCAGCGCGGTTCCAGCTCCTTCTCCACTCTGTCCGCCCCCCCCTCCCCTCCCCAATCCTGGGATTCTCCTGTCAGGGTATCTCCTGACTGACTGTCCTCCACACCCACCAACACTACCTGGAGTGCAACACAGGGATGGAGCATTTGGTGATGATGCTACCCACAATGATGGCTTCCCGCAGGGTACAGCTGCCAGACTCGCACAGTGGGATCAGGATCCCTGGGGAGGGTCAGAGGGGCGGTCACCTTGAGTCCGGGGTGAGAGAAAGGCGCTAGAGCAGATACAGTCATCTCCCAAGTCCAGATTGTTGTTTTCACCTGCAGGAGCTCCAGCCCCTCCCTCTCTGCAGCCTCCTGGGCTCCCACCTTTAAACCAGGCTCCAGGCTTGAACAGGGCCTTCTTGAGTGCCATGTAGAGGTGGAAGTTGAGTCGTTTGTACTCAGCGATGTCGTCTCGTACCCGGGGGAGCAGGACAAGGTTGTAGAAGCGCTGAGCCATGCGTTCCTTGAGGTTAGAGGCGAAAATCCTAGGGTTTTTTTTGGGGGGGGTGCCGGGAAGAGGAAGGATATGGGGGAGATCCAGGTCACTCAAGAGCCTGGCTCTGGCGCTCTAAATATCACCGTGGATGGTGCACACGAGGTGTGAGGGGTGTGTGGGAGTCAGCTGTGTGCACCCGACACCTGAGTCGGATGAGAGAGGGCACAGGAGGGGTACAAGGTGCACCCAAACAGAGTGAGCACTGTCCTAGGGACAGCCAGAACTCTGTGCTATCCCCCTTCCTTCCCCAGCACGGGTTCTCTCTACCCTGCTGTTACGAGGGACCCAAGCGTGCCTGGGGAGCCACAGACTTCAGGAGCCCCTCTGACACACCAGGGGTTGTCCCCTAATAGTTATGAGCCCCGCTTCTGGAAACTTATCACAGTGGAGTCTCAACGGGGTCCTGGCCCCGAGACATGAAACCGGAAAGCTGGGAAAACAGTGATCTAAAAAGAAGCTCCAGCTAGAGCTCTGGGGCAAGACTAAAATGTAATGACAACGGCAGGGAAAGCCTGTCCCCCCCCAACCCCCAGTCTCTACCTCGTGGCTTGGTACATGGCGGCTGCAGTCCAGGCCTCGGGCTCCGTGACGTAGAGGATCTGCTCCCAGTTGGAGAGCGCAGGGATGATCTTGAAGGCCTTGGGCAGCTTCCCACTGCGGTACTTGGACAACACCTGGGGACGAGGGTGCAGAATCAGCACTGCCAATGACACGGAAGCCGTGCGCCCTGTGCCAGGTTCGTCTCTGTGGTTTTCATGGCTTAGCTCACTTAATGCTCACAAGGACCCTGTAAGGATGTGCTCTTAGCACCCTCATTTTCCAGCTGGGGAGAGGAAGACCAGGGTGAAGGAACCTTCCCCAAGGCCACCAAACACGTGAGTGGCAGAGCAGGAATCTGAGCCCACACACTCGGGCTCTTAAGTCTGCTCTTGGCCACTGTGCCTCATTTGTGTGAGGAGAGAAAGCCTTACATGGGAGCCCACAGCCCCTAGGAGGGTATTCCATCATGGCTCTCCTCTCGGCCCTCACCTCCCGGACCCCCCTGTAGACCTCCAGAACCCGGGGGTCCAGCTGCGGCATGGGAAAGCCTGACACCTCTGACATAACCGTCTCAACTTCCGTCTGCTTCTCGGTCAGCTTCTCCATGATGATGTCAGCCAGGGTACGCCTACAAGTAAGGGAGGTGCGGGAGGGAAGGAGAGAGGGCTGTGGTCAGTCCAAGAGGCTTTAGGCAGCCTGCGCAGCCCCTTGTGAACTCCAGTACATCTGTGATCCCGCTGGGATGTGTGGCCCCAGCCTCCCTGGGCCCTACCAACCACTGCAGAATCCCTGCAGGGTGCAGAGGACCCAAAAGTCATTCAGTCTGGGACAAAGCTGACAGCTGTAGGGAGGTGAAGAACCTGAACTCTGAAGTCAGTCGGCCTGGGTTCAGAACCCAGCTTTTCCTCTCCCTGTATGACCCTGGGCATGCTCCTTCGCCTCTCTATGCCTCAGTCTTCGAGACAGGGATAATAACAGTACCTAGCTCATAAAGTTAGCATGAGGATTATAAGAATTAACGTTTGTACGTTACTCGAACTATTAGTACACAGCAAGTGTGCAGTAAGCACTGCCTATTTCAAACACACCTATCATGTGCCGGCAATATGTGGAGGGCTCCCCGTTACAAAGTCCTGGTGTGACCTCTCTAGAGGGCCAGACACATCTCAGTTACCTTCTAAGATTTCAAGTAGCTGGGGGCCATTAAGTAGGGACTATGACACAAACTTTCCCCCCAATTTCATTTATTAAAATTTATGGAAAGATTTCTAACATCAATGTTATTTTTCTCAGGTTCCTTACACATAGTATATCAAACATAACCTTATCATGTTCAGAATTACTGTTACATTGGGCTTTGGTATAATAATGGTGTCTTTGGAGGCTGCTAAGGTATATTTAAAACGTCTCCTGTTTTCTCAACACCAGGCACGGAGGTAGGGCTTTGCAGATGTTATCTCGTACAGGCTGTGCGACATCCCGTAGAGGTGTCGTTGCTGCCCTTGTTCAGACGCAGGAACTGATACCCACAGAGGTCAGTAACTCCCCCAAGGTCTCACAGCCTTGGTGGGAGTTAAAGCCTGGCCTTTCACGTTCTAAAGTTCAGGTCCTTGACGGTACCCTGTAACACGCCCCCAACTGCATGGGCCTCTGACCGCTGAGTTCACGTGGGTCTGGGCTTGCTTTCAGAAGCTGTCAGCTGTCATTTCTCAAGACTACTGGCAACCCCCGTTTTCGGTAGTTGCAGGCAAGAAAATCATCCGGCCAGTCCTGTCAAAATGCTGTGTTACCAAGGAGTTCTGAGGTGCTGAGTGAGAACCCGAGGGGCTCTCTGGCAGGACAAACACACCAGCCCAGAACACACTTTGTGACGTCTACTTCAGCTGCTGGGCATCAGCGTGGGCAGTGGGCTCATTTCCTCACTCTGTGCTCTCAAACAAGCAACCACAGAACTCCTCCTTCAGCTTTCCTGTCTTATTCTCAGTATTATCAGCCAACGAAAGATGCATTAGCCCCCCAAAGCCTAGAAACACTGTCACGTAAGTATCACAGGGTCAGAATGAACTAGTTGAGGGACTTTTATCCGAGACTCCCCCTCCCCTGGGTCAGAATCTACAGGCTTAAGAGTTTGATGGTAGGACCTTCAATGCCCACATGTTTTGGAACTACCATTTAGGATACATGGCATTACACTGTGCTTCTACCCGGGGGCGAGTCTGCCCACCAGGGAACATTTTGCTGTCTGCAGACATTGTTTGGTTATCACGATTGTAGGAAAGATCACTACTGGTATCCAGGGAATAGAAATCATCCAGATGCTAAACATCCCCCACCGCACAGGACAGCCTCCATAAAAAAAAGAATTATCCAGCCCAAAATGCCAGTAATGCCAAGGCTGAGAAACCCTGGCTGAAATGACGCTGAGAGTATGAACGAGACCTGGCCAAGGAAATCGAGCTTAGCACTAAGGAAATCAAGCAGGCCAAAACCAAATCCAATGGGATGGATCGCCCTGGAGGCATGGGAAAAGGCCCTGGAGCTGTTTTCCCGGGGAAGCCTGGGCAGTTCTACAACAGGTGGACAGATGGGCAGGAGGTCTGGGTCATTCCCACCAAGGAGGGGCCAATTTTGCCAAGTTGGTTCCCCAAAACTAGCTATGCTCAGGCCCTTCCCAAAGGCATGGAACCAAAATTGCCAGGCCATATGCTTCCCTGCAGAAAGCTGCCACAGGGACCGGACATCCCACATCCCAGGCCATGCCAGCCCCACCTGGCAGGAGGGTTCTTGTTCATGAACATCTCAATGGCACGCTCATCCTCAGGGTCCACGACCACCTCCGCATGATGGCCCACCCCTGTCATCGTGGCAGCCTTCTCCAGGGTGGGCCACTCCTCGTCCTCATCATCTGATCCATCCTGCGGGACTCCTGGACCTAGAACAGGAGAGGAAATGGATGAGCAAAGGCAAGCCGTGGGTGAGGGATGTAGAGGTCAATTCAACTTTACCCATCAGGCACAGTACAGGCCTCGCATGGGCTTGTAACAGACACAGACGGGTGCAGTGAAAGCAACGATGCCCCCACTGTCTTCCAGTTCCCAGGGGCTTCCTGTTCCCGATCTTGCTTGAGAAACAAAATGTACAAATATGAGCCAAGGAGACAGCGATGCCGTGAATAATCGTTAAACACGCTACACTCAGTTATATAGCAGGAGCTGTTCTAAACACTGTATTTAATTTTCATAACACCAAGAAGTAGTTATTACTATTCTACCCAGTGTCAGACGGGGACTCTGAAGCATAGGAAAGTTAAGTAACTTATCTAAGGCAGGTAGTCTGGGTTGAGACTGCGCATTCTTCACCTCTGTTCTATACACATTGTCGCACTTCATTATATGCCAACATGAGTGATAGAGGCAGTGTAAACCACAGGCATGTAAAAGGTGATGAGAGCAGAGGACAGTCAGACTCTGAACAGGCAGTACGGGAACTGGAGGAGTGTGCTCCAGACGTGGGTCACAACACTGGCAGGAACAGTTGGTTACAAGAGTATCTAACAGGCAGTAGCAAGAAATAAGGCTAGATGGGTAAAGTAAAGCCAGACCGCGGAGGGCCTTGAGGCCAGGCAATGGAGTTCAGATTTCAATGGAACAACGCCCCCTTTTTAGAACTTATTTGAGAGACAGTGGGCACACATGTGTGTGCGCATGCACACGAGCATGAACAAGGGCAGGGGCAGAGGCAGAGGGAGAAGGAAAGGGAGAAGCAGACGCCCTACTGAATGCAGAGCTAGACACTGCAGGAAGCTCAATTCCAGAACACTGAGATCATGACCTGAGCCAAAGTCAGACACGTAACCGACTGAGCCACCCAGGTGCCCCTGGCACAACCCATTTTTATAATGGACTACTGGAAGGCTACAAGCTGCCTGGGCATCTGAAAAGGGATGTAATAATCCAAGCAGAAAGATAAAATGTTACACGGGAACAGTGCAGTAAGAACAGAGGCAGTGTGGGCGCCTGGGTGGCTCAGTCGGTTAAGCGTCTGCCTTTGGCTTGGGTCATGATCCCGGGGTCCTGGGATCGAGCCCCCATAAGGCTCCCTGCTCAGCAGGAAGTCTGCTTCTCTCCCTCTGCCTGCCACTCCCCCTGCTTGTGTGTGCTCACTCTCTCTGTCAAATAAATAAATAAAATCTTAGAAAAAAAAAAGACAGAGGCAGTGTGTGATAAAAGCTAAATGGGGGAGGCAGATGCGGCAGACTTTTGTCTCCATATGCTAACAAACCCCAAATCTGTGCTTGTAGGTAGATTTCCCTTTACTCCAGACACTCACCCCAGCTCCCTCCTGTATAGCAGCGCTTGGATGAGCCATAAGCAATTCAAACCTCACCTGTCATCAACTGAACTCCTCTTTTCCTTTCAGGCCTCTGCTACTCGCTGTGTTCCATGTCTTAAGTAAATGGTACTACTGTCCACCAAATGCTGAGCCAGAACCTGGTAGGCTTGCCTCATCCCCTGCCCTCACCCCCAATATGCAATCAATTACCAAGTCCTATTCAATTCTACCTGACAGACTATCTCTCATATCCCTCACAGTTCTGCGTAAACCTAGATCAGCGTCATCTCTTGCCTGCAACAATCTCCTAACTGGTCTCCATATTCTCCAATAGCCCCCTACTGTCTTTAAGACAGCTTTAAATCCTGAACATAGCTTCCAAGTCTTTTGTAGATTTGGCTCCTACCTACCTTACTACCATTAACCCATTCACCCAGCAAACAATGAGTGCCTACTATATGTGAGGCACTGTTCTGAGTACTGAAATTAGTGTAAAAGAAACTTACAGAGCTTATATTTTAATAGGGGAGACAGACAATACTAAGTATTAAAATAAGACAAGTGCTATGAAAAAAAGGACACAGAGCAGAGTAGAGAAGTTGGGAGTGTGGAAACAGGAGTGGGGGCTATTTATTTATTTATTTTTAAAGATTTTATTCATGTGGCGCCTGGGTGGCTCAGTCTTTAAGCGTCTGCCTTCGGCTCAGGTCATGATCCCAGAGTCCTGGGATCGAGCCCCGCATCGGGCGCCCTGCTCTGCGAGAAGCCTGCTTCTCCCTCTCCCACCCTCCCTGCTTGTGTTCTCTCTCTCGCTGTGTATCTCTCTCTGTCAAATAAATAAACAAAATCTTTAAAAAAAAAAAATAAATAAATAGATTTTATTCATTTGGGAAAGAGAGAGAGAGAAGGGCAAGCAGACTCTCTGCTGAGCGTGGAGCCTGACGCCGGATCCAATCCCAGGACCCTGAGATCATGACCTAAGCAGAAGTCAGATGCTTAACTGACTGACCCACCCAGGCGCCCCCAGGTATTTCCATTTTTAATGGAGTGGCCAGGACAGGCCTCTCTGAGAAGATGAAGAATCAGGGAATAAACCTACAAAGGAACGAAGACAAAAGGAATAACAAGGGCAAAAGCCCTAACTTATTATGTTTAAGGAACAATAAAGCCTGTATGGACGAAGACGTCAAGGGGAAAGTAGTAGAAGAGGTCAGATTGGCAACAGGGGCAGATCATGTAGGTCTTTGAAGTCCTCCAGCTGTTGCGAGTAGACTCTAAGGGGGATGGGATACTAATCAGGAAGCTACAACAATAATCCAGGTGAGAGATTATGGTGGTTCAAACAGGACTGTGTTCCAAGGTGATGAAAAGTGGTCTCACTCGGGGCGCCTGGGTGGCTCAGATGGTTAAGCGTCTGCCTTCGGCTCAGGTCATGATCCCAGGGTCCTGGGATTGAGCCCCGCATCGGGCTCCCTGCTTGGCGGGGAGCCTGCTTCTCCCTCTCCCGTTCCCCCTGCTTGTGCTCCCTCACTCTCTCTATCAAATAAATAAATAAACTCTTTAAAAAAAAAAAAAAAAAAGAAGTGGTCTGACTCTGGATCTATTTTGAAGGTGGAGTCAACAGGATTTCCTAACAAATTAGATGTGGAGTAAGAAAGGGAGGAGTCCAAGGTTTCTGTCTTGAGCAAATGGAAGGATATCATCCTATTAACTGAGATGAGGAGGACAGTGGGAGGAGCAGGTTTGGTGAGAATATCAGGATTTCTGTTTTGGACACATTAAATTTGAGGTGTCTATTAGACTTCAAATGGGAGATGTCAAATAGGCAGCTGAAATAGAATCTGATTTTCATGGAAGAGATCAGGGCAAGAATACAAAGTTAGGAGCAGTCACTAAGTAGATGGCACTTAAACCATGAAACTGATGACAGCACCAGAAAAGTGACATGAAGAGAAGAGATCCAAGAGCTGAAATTTGTGGCCCATCAATGATAGGAGGCTGGGGACAAAAGAGGAGCCAGCAAAAGATACTGAAGCCAGGAGGCCAGTGTTCAATTGTGTCCAAAACTGCTCCCAGGACAAATGAAAGAGATCTGAGAGACAGATTAAGCGACTTGGAAGTCAACACTTCCACCCTAATAATACTGACCATCTTTTAATTAGTCTCTCTCCCTCTTGAGCACCTAAACAAGATCATTCTTCCTGCTCAGAGCACTCTCCACTCGTTTTTCAAGTCTCAGCACAAAGGTTATGCAATCTGGGAAGCCTGACCCCCAAAAGTAATGCTACTGTTCTAAGAAAAACTATACTTTCTTTATTCTGGAATGTATTATTCTAATCCTCAATTTAATTGTCTCTCTCTTGGGCTAGACTGTAAGATCCTGAAGTCAGGCACGCGGCTATCTTGTTTCCTTCTTTACCCAAACCATCTAAACTCCTAGCACAGTGCAAAGCACGGACTAGACAACTCCCAAGAATGTATAGAACAAATGGATAAATGTTAGGAGCGCTCAGTGGCGTGAGCAACTACTCCCTGTTGGTCTAACTGCGGGGGTGCCTAGAAGCGAGTATCTAAAACTACAAGTGGTTTTAAATCTGCTCCAGAGCTGGGTCTCTCATTTCATTACCTTTGCAAGGGTGTAATGCGGACCCCTTATTTATTTTATTTGATTTTCTTGATTTCAAACGATTTCCCTGCCAGATACCTTTTGGCCGCCTACTTACCCCCATAACCTAACCACCCTTCTCCCGGCACTCACCCCCCACCACTCACCCAGCCGCGTGGTGCGCTCGCGTGGCGCTGCGGGCTTGTCCCCAGTCCCATGCTCGGCCTCGAGTTCCTCCTGCTGCTGCCGTGCTTGCTGCAAAATCCGTCGAGTCAGCCGGGGCCCCACATACTCTTCCTCTTCTCTGGTCCCACGACCCCGCCGCTTTTCCCGGGCTCCTGCCCGCACCGCGTCCCCAGCCAGGATCTGCTCAGCCAGGGGAGCATGTTTTTCCTGACCCGCAGCTCCGCGAGCCGCCTTATATTTGGGCATTTTCCCCCAAAACTTTGCCGGAAAGCTTCACACGTGCCAACGGAGGAAAAGGGGGAAAAAAAAAAAACCTCGAGTGCGCTTGCGCATTGAACTCCCAGTGCCCAAGAGGCCCCCCCGGAGATTACAGCGCCTCCTAGCGTTCGGAGGCCAGGAGTGCCATCAGCGCCGTCACACCCCCTAAAAGAGCTCACGGGTCCTGGAGCTGGTCTCCCGAATAAACTCATTGCATTTAACGTTGGCTCCTATAAGTGGTGGCAGTCCGAGCGATGATTTTCTACTTTCACGGATCGAGGACCTATGTGGCCAAACGTGAACTTCCCCAGAAGCAAGGCGGGGGGGGGCGTGGCAGGAGCCGGGGAGTGACGTCACTGGAGGCGTCACCGAGGAGGTGCCTAGACCCGCCCCTGTTCCTCGTGGGCGCGTCGACTGGACGCTCTGTTTTTACGTCATTTCCGCAGCACCTCCCTCGGCAGAAGCTTGCATTAGGAGCGGATTCACTTAGTGTGGGCGGCCGGAGAATACTGTGGTTCAACTGTTTGTTCCTGCCACCCTCCTGGCCCGATACCATGGGAGTGACTTGGTAGGACAGCAAGGGACTTTGTGGGGCGGCGCTTGGGGTCGGGAAGGGCCCTCGGAGCCTGGAGTATACCCGGGAGGAGGCTCGGGACCAGGGTACGCGGTCCCCCACGAGCTGAGCAAGATGTCTTCGGAGTGTGTGGGTGAGGGAGATACTGTGAGGGCTGCGGATTCTCTGGGCTTGTTTGCTCGAAGATGCTCCCAGTCCTGGAAGGCGGCAGGTGAAAGGTTTTGTCCCAGGAGCCCATCGGTGGTTATGTACCTCCTTCCTTTTTCTTCCCAGGAGGCCATCGGGCTGCCCGGGGTGTGGAACGTAAGGGTTGGAAGTAGGATGCCCGGAGTAGGACCCAATCTGCAGGCGGGGCTAGAGGGGGTGCAGGATAGGCAACGAGGAAACCATCTTTTTTTAGGTTTTTCTCCTGCCCCTCCCTACAGCCACCTAATGCAGTTAGACCAGCCCGTGTCTGGTTCTGGTGTGGCCGTTTTAAGTTCTTCAGTCTAGAGGGGGGGAAAAAGAGAAAATGTTGGGAGTTAGATTGGGGTTCAGGCACGTCACCTCTTCAGGATCCGTTTCCTACTATGTTTAATTGTTGGTCTAGTTTCTATGGACTTTTAATCTTTAACATGATATAAGTAGGGTGGCAGAGAAAGGTATGGCCTAATGCTCTTGGGGGCATGAGTTCCAAAATGCTAGATTTCAGATTTTTTTTTTTTTTGCTTTCTTTTGAATATTGGTAAATATTAGCATGTTTCCAGTCAGAGAGGGCTGGAGGCTAGGATATCCTGAAGTCAGTGGCTGGAGCCTGGGGGAACTACTCTTTCTGGTAGCTCAGGTTCGTGTAGGCATGTCTGTTACTGCACCTTTGTTTTCTACTGTGGATATCATGAGCCTTTTCTAAGTCTTCTAGTGTAAGGGGGATGTGTGAGGGATGGAATGAAAAGTTTGTAGCATAGAGCCTTGGAACCCTGGAAGCCTCTGTTCTTTCAGTAGAAGACAGAGAGAGGGAATGGGCTGTCAGTCTGTTTGGGTCCCTTGTCAAGTTTTTCACACTCCTGGGGCTTCTGACCCCTGTAACATCAATTTAGGGATTCTCTTATTTTTCTCAATAAGGCACATCATCTCATCGCTCATGAGTGTGTTTTCTGACAAAGAGTAGTGACAATTTTTAGCAACAGCAGGACTCCCATTTTTATACCTTCATGTAGTTGATCTTGAGGTAATGCAGTGTCTTCCAAAATTCAGTAACATATGGTTTTTATATAGCTAGGTACCATCTGTAGTAGTTATTAATGTTTTCTCTTGAATCTATTTATTTTCCCTAAAAACATTTTAACAGGCAGCTACGTCTCTAGGGAAGAAATCTAGTATAGTGGATAAGAACACAGACATGGAGCCAGCCTAACTGGCTTCGAATCTTGACTTATACCACACCAAGCTCTGTGACCTGATGCGAGTCACTCAACCCCTCTGTACTTAAGTTTCTTCATTTGTAGCAAGGAGATAAATAATAGCTCATCTTATAGGGCTGTTGTGAGGGTTCAAAGAGTTCATTTGTCTAAAGGCCTTTGGACACTGCCTGGCACATGGTTGATGCCTAATGATTGTGATCTGCTACTCTGAAGGGGAAGCCAGTTTCACTTACCATAGAAGGAAATCTTTTATTTCATTGTTTTGTTTTATTCTTGTACGTACTGTTGCCTCTAGTTCCTAAAAATTATAAACTTGAGACTTGCTTTCTTTTTGATCCTAGGGCTGTTGAATACAATTTTTCGCATTGACGAAATGTTCTATAACACCATTGTCTAATACACTAGCCTTCAGTCACATCTGGCTGTTGAGTCTTTGAAATGTGGGTGGTGCAGCTGAGGAGTTGAGTTTTTAATTTAACTTGTTTTATTAGTTTAAGTGTAAATAGCCACGTGTGGCTTGTGGCTGCTGTACTGGACAGCACACATTCAAAGTGTTCGAGAAATGGTAAAAACATACTAACCCCAAATTGAGATTTTCCCGATAGAGTCAGAACTGAAGGAATCACAAAGGACATCCCTTTCTCATATGACTCAATGTTATGAATTGCTCAGCCTCTGTACCACTTAAAACCTTCTCTTGAACATTGGCACACATGTCCCGCTTGGGAAACACTGGTGTGATAGATAGGAAGTTCACTACACTGATGTGAGTGTCCTGAGATCTGTGTTCTAGTTCTTAGTGGAGCTCTCAGGAACTGTGAGCCTCTATTTCCTCGTCTTTAAAATGAGAGAGAGGGTCAGGGTAGGTGGTCTCTAAGGTAACTCCTGGCCCTGGAGAGCTGTGATTCTGTGGGTAAATGAGTGGCTCAGTGAGTGTACGTGTGTCTCTGGATACTGATGATTTGGTCCTCTCCCTTCCAGTGTGTCCCAGATGCCTGTGGCTGAGGGCAAGAGTGTCCAGCAGACGGTGGAGCTCCTCACCCGGAAGTTGGAGATGCTTGGGGCAGAGAAGCAAGGAACATTTTGTGTGGATTGTGAGACCTACCACACAGCTGCCTCCACTCTTGGCAGCCAAGGTCAGTGAGATGGGTCTGCAGGATGGCTGGAACCTCACTTGGAGTTGATTGACATTCATGTTCGTTGAAATCTTTATGCTCTTTTGCTAAGGGTGGTATTCTTGAACATGTGGCAGATGTTTCTGAATTCATTAAATCTCAGTCCTTCATCTCTTAGACTGGGCCGATGCCTTAGTCTTTCTGCACTTTGCACTTTAAAGCTGTGTTTCTCGGGGGATTGGTCACTGGCTAACTGCATCTAAGCATCTGGGTTACTTGTTAAAGGTGCAGAGTCCTGGGGCGCCTGTGTGCCTCAGTTGATTAAGCATCCGACTCTTGATTTCGGCTCAGGTCATGATCTCAGGGTCCTGGGATCAAGTCCCGCGTCGGGCTCCATGCTCAGCACAGCATCTGCTTAGGATTCTTTCTCCCTTTCCCTTTGCCCCTTCCCCTGTTCTCACTCTCTATTCTCTCCCTCTCAAATAAATAAATAAAATCTTAAAAAAATAAAGGTGCAAAGTCTCAGCTCTCCTTACCGCCTGACTGGTGTTACAAGCCCCGTAATTATACTTCCGCCAGCTCCCTTGATGATCTTTATGCACTCTTAAGTTTGAGAGAGACTCCTTTTAGGCCCAGAAGTCTATGATTCTTTCACAGCTTTAGAGTTTTTAGAACTTTGTGCAGAAGGGCTTTCAGGTTCCTACACCTAGCCAGTAGCCTTGGATACCTCATTGTATGACCTTGACCATTGAATCAACTTTTGTTTCAAATATATTGAGATGGGCTGTGGATGATGGTGGTAGGGAGGCAAAAAGAATCTTTTTTTTTCTTCAAATTTTTATTTAAATTCTAGTTAGTTAACATATAGTGTAATATTGGTCTCAGGAGTAGAATTCAGTGATTCGTCGTTTACATATAACACTGGGTGCTCACCACCCATTTAGCCCCTCACCCACCTCCCTTTATCAACCCTGTTTGTTCTCTGTTGTTCAGGGTCTTTTATAGTTTGCTTCCCTCTCTCTCTTTTTTCCCCCTCCTATATGTTCAACTGTTTTGTTTCTTAAATTCTGCATCTGAGTGACATCATGGTATTTGTCTTTTTCCGACTTACTTCACTTAGCATAATACACTCTAGTTCTATCCACGTCTTTGCAAATGGCAAAATTTTTCTTTTTGATGGCAGAGTAATATTCCATTACATATTTATATAATATATAGAGATTTATTAGATGTGTAAGTTGTATATATATATAGACACATTAGATATATAGATAATAGATATATATATATTTCTCCCACATTTTCTTTGTCCATGCATCAGCCAATGGACATTTGGGCTCTTTCCATAATTTGGCTATTGTTGATAATGCTGCTGTAAACATCAGGATGCATGTACCCCTTCGAATCTGTATTTTTGTATCCTTTCGATAAATACCTAGTAGTGCAATTGCTGGGTCGTAGGGTAGTTTCTTTCCTAAAATTCTTGAGAAACCTCCATACTGTTTCCCAGAGGGGTTGCACCAGTTTGCATTCCCACCAACAGTGTGAGAGGGTTCCCCTTTCTCCACATCCTCACCAACATCTGTTGTTTCCCATGTTTAGAGAACCTTTGAATATGAGTTAGAGAACCTGGGTTCTCTTAGTCTTGGCTCTGTAGTAATTTGACCTAGGACAGTTCTAAAGCACAGTGATGAAGAGGCTAGATCATGGAACCAGAGAACTAAGTCCTAGTCACATACTAACTGTCACTTAGTGAAGTCCCACAACCTATGACTGTTCCTATGCCAGTCATTTGCCTATTTCCCCGTAGATCCATTCCCCATACCTCCCCTGCAGACAACATTTGCCAGGCGCCCTTTTAGTCACCTTTGGCCAGTGAGGGGCAGTGGGGAATTTTAGAGGCCCGAAGCAAGGGAGAGCACAGGATCTCCTCCTCTCCTGCTTTGGGTGGTGTCTCCGGCTGTGACTGTGGTCTCTTCCTTGGTTTTAGCTCCTGCTGGGTGCCCCTCGTGCCTCGCTCTAATGACAGCACATCCTCTCTTTTTCCTTCCAGCCTTTGGGGTGGTAGTAGCTCCCTGTACTGCTAATATTTGAGCGGCCTCACCATTTGTTTGGTTTTTCGGTTTTTCCAACCCTGGTATTTCGTTCCCTGTATTAAATCCCTTCTAATGAAACTATTTGCTATGGGGTCTGTTTCTATACCTTCCTAGGACAGTTTGTCATTTGCAAAATGAAAATATCATAGTACTGATCCCCTAGTGTTTTGCTCATTAAATAAGTTACTATGTGCAAAGCACTTAGAACTGAGGTGGTTGTGTAGTAAGTTTTTAATAAATAAGAGCTCTACCGAGTTTCACCATCAGTAAAATCACAGGGTTACCATTACTTGTGCCTTCAGTAGGAATCAAAAGAGAAAACAGTTACGAAAGCGTTTGGAAAACAAAACATTTGTGCACAGGTATAAGATGGCGTACCGTATCTAAGAAACTACCTGTTGTAGGCTCTGTTTTCCTGATCTGACCTTTACTTTTTAAGGAGCTACAGTCTAGTTGGGGAGAGGACACATTGGCAGCGGACAGGGGTTGGAATGGAAGGAGCAATAAACTTGAGGTCAGAAGGCCCGGATTGGAGTTCCAGTTCTGCTCCTTACTGGCTCTGTGCCTTTAGATCACAAGTTCTCACATGGACCAGCATTAACATCACCCCGAGAGCTCATTAACACAGATTGCTGGGCCCCTCCCAGACTTTTCCACTCAGGAAGTGTGGGCTGGGGCAGAGAATCCGCATTTCCACCAAGTGCCCAGGTGGTGGTGGTGCTGCTGCCCGTCCTGAACCCTATAGGCTTCACTTTCCTTGTCTGTAAAAGCGGGGACAGTAACGCTGGTTCTGCTTGCTTCACAAGTTTGTGCCAATACAGAGATATTTGTTTTTTTTTTTAAAGATTTTATTTATTTATTTGTGAGAGATAGCACAAGCTGGGGGAGAGAAAGAGGGAGAAGCAGACTCCCTGCTGAGCAGGGAGCTCGATGCGGGGCTCAGTCCCAGGACCCCGAGATCATGACCTGAGCCAAAGCAGACGCTTAGCCAACTGAGCCACCCAGGCGTGCCCAAAGATACTTTATTTTGATTTTAAAAATACTATTGTCTGTAAACAACTGGCAGTGCCTTCTTCATTAAAAAAAACCTTAGTTGACTTTCAAAGTATTTTCAAGAAAGTAAGAACACCTACAGACTCGTATGGTATGAATTAAATAATTACAGTGAGTTTGCACAAGAACAGAATGACAGATCAGCTTTGGATGTCTTTTTTTTTTTTTTGGAAGGTTGAAATATTTTGTGCTGGGTTTAGCAGGAGGTGAAAGGTACCCATTGGCAGCAAGCGGTCAGGAGGGATGTGAGGAGAGGTTGGTGCAGAACCTGTTGAGTTCTGGAAGTGGCAGCAGAGTGGAGGCCTGTGTAGAGGTCTCCGCCCTATCTCCTCTTTTCCACTGTTAAACTCTCATTCTTTTTTTTTTTTTTTTTTTTTAAGATTTTATTTATTTGACAGAGAGAGACACATAGTAAGAGAGGGAACACAAGCAGGGGGAGTGGGAGAGGGAGAAGCAGGCTTCCCACGGAGCAGGGAGCCTGACGCGGGGCTTGATCCCAGGACCGTGGGATCATGACCTGAGCCGAAGGCAGACGCTTCACGACTGAGCCACCCAGGCGCCCCTGTTAAACTCTCATTCTTGCCTAGAATATCTTTCCTTCTCTGTGTGGCTGAACCCTACCCTCTCTTCATATCATAGTTCAGGTCCTGCTTTCTCCATGAAAGTTTTTCCTGCTGACTCTTGCACACTTTGATCTCTTTCTGCTCTGGTCTTTTTTCCTTCCAAGAAGATTTCTGGTCTATCCCACGTAAGCACTTTAACGACTGAGCCACCCAGGTGCCCCTATAGTTAAGTCTTAATAAATACTTGGGATTGTGGTAGTCTATTCCTTAATTCTTGCAGTGTATGAGAGGGCGATCTTGCTTTCCATTTTCAGTTGACCAAATATATGTAGCTTTCCTTTCTTCTTGCAGAAAATCTCTAGTAGTGGGGCGCCTGGGTGACTCAGTTAAACGTCTGCTTTGGCTGAGGTCATGATCCCGAGGTCCTGGGATCGAGCCCTACATTGGGCTCCCTGCTCGGCGGGGAGCCTGCTTCTCCCTTTCCCACTCCCCCTGCTTGTGTTCCCTCTCTCTCTGTTTCTCTCTTTCTCAAATAAATAAATAAAATCTTTAAAAAAAAAAACCTCTAGTAGTAATCAACGAGAAAACTCATTTCTCAGAGACCGGAAGGGGTAGACTGGGGCTTGAAACTAGACCTTCTGATTCCACATCTTGAGTCCTTTCTGTGAATGTGCTGATTGCTTCCCAAGTCAGCTGATACATTAAAGTACTCCAGGGGTTCGGGTGCTTGGGTGGCTCAGTTGGTTAAGCGTCTGCCTTTGGCTCAGGTCATGATCCCAGGGTGCTGGGATTGAGTTCCACATCTGGCTCCCTGCTCAGCGAGGAGTCTGCTTCTCCCTCTACTGTTCCCCCCTGCTCGTGTGCACGTGCGCGCTCTCTCTCTCTCTAATAAATAAATACAATCTTTTTTTCTAAAGATCTTCCTAATTTGTCATCAACAGCCGTCTATGAGCCCATCACTCAACTTAAGAACTAAACTGTTACCAGTGCTATTGAAGTTCCCTTGTGCTCCTCATGTTTTCTGTAGAGCAGGGTTTTACTACATGCTGCCTTACCTGCCGTTCTTCTCCCTTCCTCTTTGGAAAAGACTGTTGGTGAGGGGATTTCCCCCACATCGCCCTCCAAGATGGCTGAGGTAATGGCAGATTGCCATCTGGCCATGTTCTGCTCATTTGACTCTATTCCGGGGTTTGCGGAGGAAGATCTTGATGCTGATAGAATCTCTGTCTCTGCAGGTCAGGCTGGGAAGCTGATGTATGTGATGCACAACTCAGAGTACCCTCTGAGCTGCTTCGCTCTCTTTGAGAACGGCCCTTGGCTTATTGCCGACACCAACTTCGATGTGCTCATGGTGAAGCTCAAGGGCTTTTTCCAGAGTGCCAAGGCCAGCAAGATTGAGACCCGGGGTACCCGTTACCAGTACTGTGACTTCCTAGTGAAGGTGGGCACAGTCACCATGGGGCCCAGTGCCCGAGGCATCTCTGTAGAGGTAAGACCTTGGGGAAACAGGAGCAGTATGTGCTGAAGGGCTGCTCAGCAGAGGGCTCTGCAGATTTTCTCACCCCTCTGAATGCAAACAGGTGTTTATGCCTTCCTCATCCCTGTCTCCAGGGCATGTGTGCTCCCTTGTCCCTGCATCTTTTACCCTTTCTTTAATCATTCAGGTTCTGGCCCAGGGTGGGAATGGGAAGCTGGGGTCACAACAGGTAGAAAGCTTAAGAAGGCTGACTTGCTGGAGAAGGGAAGGGATAGTCAAGGGAGGAAGGTAATTGTGATGTGGAGGGACTGGTCACCCATCACAAGGACTGGAGCAAACCAGGGCAACTTTTTGTGCAGGTAACTTTTGGGAGGTGGGCCCTAAATAGTGTGTCTACATCCCTTTCCCTAGTACACCTTAAGATAGGTCTCAGAGATTGTGTAGCAAGATGAGCCTTTCCTTTTGACATGCTGTCGACTTCTTTCGTGGTGGAAAGAGGTGTGTGTGGTGACTTCATCTCTGAGGTATATATTGGAAACCACAAAGAGGGAGTGTGGCAGTAGCTGGCTTTGGGACCAGTAAAATTCCTCAATCTACCATGTGCCCAGCACTATGTGAGATTTAAAAAAAAAAAATAGGTGACCTACAGGGCCTGCCTTTTGAACATGTAGGATTTAGTAAGCGAGCGAAGCTGAAACACACAAACTGTTTTTGAAGTCAGTCCGTAAGACGTTCCGAGGCACATTGCTCTGGGGATTCAGGCCAGTGAGAGCACTGGTGACTTTGAGGATGGGGATGCTTTCTTCTGGAGTAGCATGTAAAGAGGGACTTAAAATGTAGAGATGTGGGGCGCCTGGGTGGCTCAGTTGTTAAGCGTCTGCCTTCGGCTCAGGTCATGATCCCAGGGTCCTGGGATCGAGCCCCGCATCAGGCTCCCTGCTCCGTGGGAGGCCTGCTTCTCCCTCTCCCACTCTCCCTGTTTGTGTTTCCTCTCTCGCTATCTCTCTCTCTATCAAATAAATAAATAAAATCTTAAAAAAAAAAATGTAGAGATGTGGGGAGAGATAAACCCCACTAAGCATTCCAGGTAGAGAAAAGGGCCTTAGCGGTAAATTACTTCTCTGAAACTGCTGGGACCTTTGGGGCCAAGATTTCCTGACCCCTTTTGGCTTGTGATACACCTTGCATTTGCTGAGACCCAGTGGGAACCCACTGTCTGCTTATCCTAAATGTTTCCATTTTTGTAGTACACATATATCGCAGCTCTTTCTTAACGTGTTTCTCCTTATGCTTACTAATTATTTTTCCTGCCATCTTTCCAGTGAAAAGCCAGGAGAAAGGAATGAGAAAGTCTTAAGATGTAGCTCCTTTGACCCCTGGCACATTGGTTGGGAAATTACTTCTTAGGGTCAGTTGGGGTCTTTTGTGGGGGTAATGTTTGGTCTTAAAGAGACTTAAGAGCATATGTGTCTATTTGCCCCCTATGGACACACACACACACACACACATAGATACATATACACTCTTACCTTCTGTTGTTCATTTTCTCTCAGAATTCTTCTGAGCTCTCCTTGGATCTTCATGCAGCATAGCAGGGACTATACCATTCTGAGATCATCAAAGGGGGCCTGTGTCTGTTTCTGGGTCTTGTGGGTTGGGGCTGTAGGTTGATAAGTCCCAAGATGAGAATGTGAGAGATGCCTAAAAGGAATGATGCTGGGTATGTGGAATCCCTAGTGTTTGGCTTGAGTATTTTTCTGTGGAGCAACATTGTGTTAGAAGGTGTGTGTCTTTGGCTTGTGGTTGGAGAAGATGGGAGCAGGGGGCAAGAGGTGCAAGAGAAGCAGAAGACCTTGTCCTTGCCCTCACTCACCCTTGTTCTCTGTTCTTTTGGTCCCCAGGTGGAGTATGGCCCCTGTGTGGTAGCTAGCGACTGCTGGAGCCTGCTGCTCGAGTTCCTACAGAGTTTTCTAGGCAGCCACACACCAGGGGCTCCCGCAGCGTTTGGGAACAGACACGATGCCATCTATGGCCCAGCAGATACCATGATCCAATACATGGAACTCTTCAATAAGATCCGCAAGCAGCAGCAGGTGCCGGTGGCTGGGATTCGTTAGTGACTGGCAACTGCCTGGCTGAGCTCTGTCACCAGGGGAACTGCGCAGGAGGAGCAGGGGCTGCACCCTGAGGCCCCTGGACCCCAGAAACCCAGGGCAGACATGGAGGCTTCTCTCCATCTTCCCAGCTGTGACTTTTGTTCTGGGGATCTGGACTTCCCTCCCCTGACCCTCACACACAGCCCCCCAGCAGCTGCTTCACCCTACGCCTTACTGGACTTGGCCTGTTCTCAAGAATGGTAATTATGAAGAGTGGAGAAGTGTGGAGCTTTCCTGCTTTAGGGGAAAAGGTAGGACAGGCCTGCCTAGTGTTGGTGGGAAAGCAATCTGTATCTCCAACTACTGAGGATTTGGCTTAGGTCCACGGTGGATGGACTGGGCTGGGCTGGGCTGTAATAAAGGCCTCTTCCTCTACTCCAGGGATGCAGGTGGGCTTCTCCTGGAGAAGGAGTAGGAGGCATAACTTGGTGTGATGGCTATCATTTCCTGACCTGTTTGCTGAAGTGAACTGTGAGTTGACTTTTCTAGGATGTTGCCGAAATCCTTTGGAGTCTCCCTCTGGCATCTTTCCATTCTGTTGTGAATGAGGTTAAGCCAGAGGCTAAGCTGCTGTAACAAAGAGAACCTTAAGTACAGTGGCTCCTGGTAGAAGTTTATTCTTCTCTCTTCTAATAGTACAGATATTATCAGATGGTCTGGGGTAGATTTAACTGTACAAGGTCACCAGGACCTCGGTTTCCTTCTGTCTTGTTTAGCCAACCCTGGGGTGTTGACCTTGCCCACAAGGTCAAAGCAGACTCATCAGCTCCATGCCTACAATACACCGGGGAAAGAGAGAGCAAAGCAGTTTCTTTTTAAAGGATATGACCTGGAGTCACTCAAATCAGTGTGGTCACACTTTGCTGAAAGGGACGCTGGGACATAGTCTCTTGCTTGGGTGGCCATGGGTCCAGTTAAAACTCAGGGGCTTCTGTGACTAAAAGATAAAGGAGAATATGGGGGCCCAGTGAGGGGCCTCTGCTACATGGAGCTCAATGGATGTGCCCAGGAGGGCTCTTTGTTGTTATTTTGCAGAGCACCCCCTGTGAAGCTATTTGTGAATTGCACTAGGATAGGGCAGGTGCTAGAGCTAGAGCCACTTGTGAGTTTTGCTGGCTTAGTCACACTGGGCAGTCAGTTCCGCACCCCTTGCCTAAGGGTTCACAGCTTCCTGAGCTCTTGGTCCTCATCTCATTTGAGCCTCTAAGCTGCTCATTGGACTTATGTCGCCTGCTCACCTGACTCTGGCTGCAGAAATGTTCAGTCGGGCTAACATTGATATATACAGGCAGGGATGGTCTGAGGAAACACGTTAATATACTTTACTACAGACCTGTCCTCAAGGATACCGTCCCTCACTGAAGGTACCTCAGAGAAATTAGTTTCAGATCTAATGCCTCTGCAACAGGAATCAGGAGGCGATCATGTTTCCCTTGTAGCTTTGGCTGGCAGGAAGCTCAGATTAACTCTGTAACTGCAGGACCTGCCAGCTGCACTTTTTGTTCTCCTTTGCCCCTGGCTTTTTGTTTGGTTCTTTGTTCTGTTTTTGCTTGTTTAAATTGAGGTGTGTTTTAGATGTCATTTACAGACAATAAAATGCATAGATTTTATGTTTTTGGCCTTCTGATTTATATTTGCTCTTGTTCAGCTTTATCTGTTTGTATTTTTCTGTAGGCCCCCTCAAATCTTTTGTGAGACGAGACAGCATTTTGAATATAATGTATTTTTGAAAATATATAGAGATTGAGTGTGGTAAATATGATTCTAGATGTATGCATTTTAGGGAGGGATTCTGTGCTCTAAAAACTAAAGAAGAGTATAAACTCCCTAACTATCGTTTGCCTTTCAGACACAATCTTGGCTCATACATTTTCAGCATTCTTCACTTTTGTTTTTTTCCCTTATTTCAAGCACACATTTAACCAACGTTAAGTCCAGTGGGCACCAGATCAGTCTTTATGAACTGCCGCTTGGGGTACTTCTGTCCACCTTTGTCCTTTGCGTCAATTAAAGAAAATATATCTCTAAAAAAGGCAGGTAACGCAATACATTTCTTCATTTAACAAATATGGCTCTGCTAGCGAAGTTGCCCAAACTGAGCTGGTAACTAGTGAGAAGGGTCCAGATGTCATCTAGCTTTTGTGTGCAAGTCAGAATGGGACTTCACAGAGTTGTTTAGGATTGTCATTGTATCATTTTTGAAAGTTCAGGTTGAATGAAAGCTTAAGAGCATTGGTATAAATTTAAGGAAAAAAGGGCGTGGTGATCCTCATTTTATAAATGAAAACTTAAACACGGCTGGTTAATGGAGATGCCATATGTTTGGGTTTAAATCTGATGTTTTTCCTTCTACACTAGACTTGCCTTCCTATGCTTTCCCCCTCTTCCCATCTGTAGTCACCCCCAAAAGAGCAGAAACTGGGAAATTCTGAGACCCTGCTAACATGTCATCTTGGTGGGCACCTTTGTCAGAGCCACATAGAAATCTGCCAGTGTCGACTGTCAGAGCTCTGCAGGGCAACTGTAGGACTCATCTAGTCTTCCTTTACTGGGAGATGGGGGAGATGGGGGTTCCCACAGAGGTCATGCTGAGAGAGGAGGCCGCAGTTGAGACCAAATTTCAGGCTCAGGACACCTGGCTACCAGCATGTGTCTAAGTGTGGCACCTGGGCCTCTGTGCGGTGCCAGGTGATTTTAGGTGGAGTGTGGAAAACACTTATATTAATACTTACGTCTTATTCTAATGTATATTAGAAAAAAGCAGAACTAGCACTTTATTCCTTAGGATGAGGGTAAGTTTTTAAGGAAGAGTCCATTTACAAGAACTATTAAGTTCTTGCACAAAGGATACCTGCAGATGGCAAAATCTGGGACGGCAGAAGGCAAATGCTGGGATTTGGGGAACCCTGTATTCCACCTGTGTCTAGCCCATCACTTGTAACCATTTGTGGTTCCTCCTCTGGCTGTGCTTTCCTCCTGTCTCCTGTGCTCTTGTGATTCTCTGTACTCCTGTTCCTAGGCTGCCTCCTGCTTGCTTGCCTCAGATCTTGAGTACCAGGTGGTCAGTCACATTTCCCCGGCCCTCTGTTGGTGTCCCTGCTCCTCTGAAGGAATACTTAGAGACTGACCACTCCTCTCCACCACCAGGTCATCCCCAACCCAGTGTGTCCAGTATTCAGTCATGAGGCTTCAGTGAAATTTTTCTTTCCAAATCCTGGATGATAAAGGAGAGTAGTTAGAAATTCCCACCTACATATGCCCTCCAGGTGTCAAGAGTTGAGACTCTGAGAACATAGGAAGGGCGATAGGCTGAACATTTTGAGGATGTGAACACAGTAGATCTGGAGCCAAGCAGGAATGATGGGTTGCCCCACTGTCTCCACGTGCATACCTATAATTCCCAGTATTGTCTTTCCCTCGCCACAGCCTCCCTCTCTGTATCTGCCACTGTCCGGGCCCCTTGGGCTGCAGGCCCCAGTCACAAGTGCCACGTGGCATGGCTGAAACCAGTTGTATTACAAGTTTGGTCCTCTCCTGGGGGTTGGTGTCTTTGGACTTTGAGTAGTCTCTTCTTGGACTTGGGACTCTCCCCCAAGATGAGTTTCTGCCATTGTGTAGAGCATACCAAAATCAGTCTCTTGGGTTACAAGGGACCCTTTAGGTCACCTCATTTGACCATGGTTCGGGACTCAGATCTTTACATCATCCCTCCCAGAGGTCATGCAGCCTTCACTTGGCCTCATCTAGGGAAATCCCTTCCCTGTGTATTTCATCGCTTTTCTCAATAACTGAGACAAACACAAAACAAGACAGAACATACCTGTCCTTTCCTTCCCGGATCATGGAGACTGTATTGTGCTTAATGAGGGAGTTTCTTCTTAGTTGGTGCTGGAATGTGAGTGGATGGTGACTCTAAAGTAGTGATTCTTACTTAAGGCAGCCTAACCCCCGAGGGGAGCCCCGAGAGGACGAAGATGCCTTGAAAGCTTTGTGTGTATATGTGTGCAGTTTTGGGGGAATAGGATTTACAGGGTTCATTAGAGTATCTCAAAGATCTGTGATCTAAAAAAGGGTCTCTAAAAGAACAGATCCTGAAGGGAAACAGGAAGGCAAAGGTGAAGCAGATGTGAAATACATCTTGCTGGCTTATCGTATGCAAAACCTTCCCCTGCCGCTCGGACCCCTTCTCTAAGGTCTCATCCAGGGATTTTTCTCCTTCATTTCATAGTTCTTCAGGCCTTTTGGTCAGTTTCTGGCAAGCGGGACTGTTTTCCTGCTCTTACCTTTCCTATTGGTTCCCCCTTCTTCTGTCTTTACACAAACATGCATGCAACCTTTTATAAATGGGTAAGAGTAAATATATAAGAAGAATTTTTATAGCTTTCTCGGGGGCCCCAGGAGTAGTTACTCTCCCATTATTACACACTCCATGGGATCTGGTAATTATTCCGTTGTAATGGAACTTGGCATAATGAGTATATTTTCATTGTTCAGAATGATGTCATTGATGAGGCCAAGAAGTAGTTCTGCGTCTCTGTGATGAAATTAGCAAGTTAAAAAAAAATTCTTGAAACTATGAGGGCAAAGATTCCTAATTCTCTTGCATTCTCTGTTTTATTTGCCATCACATTCCTGCCCCATCAGATGGCATAGACCTGTTTTTAAGGTTAATACGAATTCTGCCAAAATTTCTTTGGAGGCTTAAAAAGAATTTAGGGATGCCTGGGTGGCAGCCGGTTTAGTGTCTGCCTTTGGCTCAGGTCATGATTCCAGGGTCCTGGGATGGAGTCCTACATCTGGCTCCTTGCTCGGCAGGGAGCCTGCTTCTCCCTCTCCCTCTGCTGCTTCCCCTGCTTGTGCTGTCTCTCTCTCTGACAAATAAATAAATAAAATCTTAAAAAATGATTTAGGGAATGCATTTATATATCCTGAGGATGTGGAGGTGACAGGTATTCTAAGGCAACTACTAAAAGAGAGAGCACTGCTTTAGGAGACAGGTGCTGGGTGCTGGCCATAGTACTGTCCTGAACTTGCCAGGTATCTTCAGTCAAGTTGGCCTTTCTGGGTCTCATCAGTAAAGTGGGAATAAATGATGCCTACTTTACATTTTTCATAGGCTTGTCGAGGGGCTCAAGGGAGAATAGATGTCAAAAGCTTTATAGGCAAGGAGATGCCCTCTCTGCGCTTGCTTCTTTTTAATGGTGTTGCAGGTACTGGTGTTTGGTTAGGATGTTTAAGCTGGGATGTTATGGGGGCACCCGGCTGGCTCAGTCAGAAGAGCATGCGACTCTTGATCTTGGGGTTAATGAATTCGAGCCCCAGAGTAGAGATTACTTAAAAATAGAATCTTTAAAGAAAAAAAGGGGGGAAGTTATGGGGTCATACTGCTTGATGACAAGTTAAAATTCTCCCCCAGTGCAAAGAATGTTATTGTAATAGAGAATGAGCAGTGAGAGAGGGTCCCAAGAAGGTATATGATAGTATAGGTATATTTTTTGAACCAGATCAGTGAGCACAGTTGTGGCCCATCTCTGGAGGATGGAATTCTATTTTTAAATTTTATCTGTAGTGGTAAGATTTTACTTGTTCTACAACCTGAGGCTCTGCTTTAAAAAAAGAAAAAAAAAAAGTCGGGGTAGAATTGACTGTATCTTCTTTGTGGAACATACCCATCCCTGTTTCCCCTCGTCTCCCAGGCCTTAGTTGTGCCTGTCTCTGCCCTGTTTGTGTGGTGCCATGTGTATTGTGATCACACTCGTTACCAGTTGTGTCTTTAAAGGAAGCTCAGTGTTTGATTCTATTTTCCATTCCTTGTGGATGAACCACTGAAGCTCTTAACTCTGGAACTACACTAAAACCTTTTTGCTAGCTATGCTACATAGCCTTCTCATATTTGAATTATCTAAAATAGCCTTATTCTGCTTTCATCTAATACACAGTTCTCAAACTCTTTAGTCTCAGGACTCCTTGATGCTGTTAAAAGTTCCAAAGAGCGGGCGCCTGGGTGGCTCAGTTGGTTGAGCGACTGCCTTCGGCTCAGGTCATGATCCTGGAGTCCCTGGATCGAGTCCCACATCGGGCTCCCTGCTCGGCGAGGAGCCTGCTTCTCCCTCTAACCCTCCCCCCTCTCATGTACTTTCTCGCTCTCTCAAATAAATAAATAAATCTTTAAAAAAAAAAAAGTTCCAAAGAGCTTTTGTTTACGTAGGTTATACCTATTGATATTTGCCTTATTGAAACTTATAAGAAAATAGAAGGTATTCATTCAAAGATAAAATAAATCCATCGCATGTTAACATAAATATTTTAATGAAAAATAACTTTTTTCCAAGCAAAAAACTTACAAGAGTGACATTGTTTTATATCTTTGCAAATCTCTTGAATGTCTGGCATAATTGAAGACAGTGGATTCTCATATCTGCTTCTTCATTTAGTCTATTAAAATTTGTCATTTTGGTTGAAGAATGTGAATCCAACCTCACAGATGTGTAGTTGGAAAAGGGGAGGAGTATATTAACAATCTTCTCACATAATTGTGTATGTTCTTTGAAACTACATCACAACTCTGCTGTTAGTTGCAATGCAGATTCTCAAATTCTATCAGTGAACT